ATCTGCGTTTTCCCCTTTTTCGCTATTTCGGGTGAGGTTTTAGCAGTTTTGTTCTGAACTTCTCTGATAAGGATTTAAAGGCGATTTTTATTGCCTACACTATACAGTGACATTGGCTCTACGTATAACTTTATTTGGGGACATGGCTATGAAAAAATGATCAATTCTTTACGACATGATCAAAAATAAGCCCATAATAGCATTATTAGATTTCATGATCTCTAAATATGAAGGTAATATATTGTATTACAAAAATTCATATTAAAGACCATTAAACATAAGTTCACCTTATATCCATCTCAAATTTGCTGGGGAGATATGCATGTTCATTGCAAATTTACGTCACACACACACACACACACACACAAAGATTCAACTAACTAAATAAATAAGAGAACGATAAGTAAACCAAGCAAATATCTTTATAACACAATAAATAACAAATATTATATGTTTAAGTTTGTAGTGCTCATCAAAACAAGTTATCAAAGACAAAATTATCTCCATCAAGGCTCTTTACGAATGCAATAAAAATTTAACTTAGCAATATTATGCATACATCACAACATTCGAAAGAGGTATGTAACAACCGTAAATTTTGATACGTATTTAAATAAATTTTTCTAGTATTTAAAATATTATATTATATTTTATTAATGTTTTTCCTAATTTCTAGAATTTTCTGAGTTATATATAGCCTTGTATTTATTAATTCTGCTAAATATTAATTTATGGTTTAATGATTTTATATATAATCTTTTGGTAGCGGTTTAATGATTTTATATATAATCTTTTGGTAGCTAATATTATTAGTGACCTTGTTATTATTAATGTAAACCTGAGCTTAGCTAATATTATTAGTGACCTTGTTATTATTAATGTAAACCTGAGCTTAGTATATTAGTACATTTGTAAAAATATAAATATTTAGTTGTTAATTATTATTATAATGATTTTTAAAATATTATGAATAAATAAATATATTCCCATAATCTTTTTCCCCTTAATTTTCTCTCATTTGAATTCCTACCATAATCCCCCTAATCAACTTCCAATCAATTCTCTAATCACCATTTAACTATTTCCTATTTTACTCCCGTATTTCTCTCCCTCTCACAATTTGACAACTCATTCCTTTTTAATTTTTCCTCCTCATTTCAAAACCGTACCCTCTCTCTCTCCATCAGTCCACCTCACCCCAAGAAAACCCTCTTCTTCTTCTTCTTCCTCCCAGCACCAAACCCAACCCATCACCACAGCCGCTCCGCCCCGT